CCTGTGCAGTTCTGGGGAGATGCAGTTCTTACAGCCGTACATGTGATTAACCGTGTTCCTTCACGGGCTTTGGGGTTTAAGGTGCCATTTAGCCTCCTTTTTCCAGATGGAGAGATATTTCATATAYCTYTGAGGGTTTTTGGCTGTGTTTCTTTTGTTCACATTCTTGGCCTTCATTGCAAGAAATTGGATCCTAAGGCCAAGAAATGTGTTTTTCTTGGGTATGCTCAGAACCAAAAGGGGTATTGCTATTATGACCCAGTGTCGAGGAGAAAATTTGTCACTATGGATGTTACTTTTTTTGAATCCACATTCTTCTTCTTGAGTGGTTCTCCTCAGTGGGAGAGTTTTGGGGAGGAGAACTCACAATCTGTTCCTCTTCCTGTTTCTGTGGTACCTCCCTCAGTTCAGCCAGCACCTGCACCCACAGTTTCATTACCCGAGCCACTACGGGCAGCCTCACAGCAATACCAGCGCTGGCAGATGATGGTTGACTCCACACATCCTCGACCCACACCACTCTCTGTCAGTCCTTTTGAAACTCCAGATTCGGCAGATACAGTTCCAGGTATTCCTCTTGAGCCTGTTATGTTTTCTGATGATAATGTTTCTGTCCCTAACACCATTGTTGCAGCTGATCCCACTGACCTTGATATTCTCATTGCACTTCGTAAGGGGAAGAGAAAGTGTACAACCCACTGCATTTCACACCATCTTTCCTACAATGCCTTATCACCCTTCTACCGTGCTTTTCTTTCTTCCCTGGATTCTGTGTCTATACCCAGGAATTTTACTGAGGCTCTCTCCAAACCTGAATGGAAAATAGCCATGCAAGATGAGATGGATGCTTTGGTCAAAAACCAAACTTGGGAAATAGTTGATCTCCCCCTAGACAAGGAGTCAGTCGGATGTCGATGGGTATTCACAGTGAAGTATAAGGCCGATGGCAAGATAGAGAGGTACAAGGCAAGGTTGGTAGCAAAAGGGTATACTCAGACCTATGGTGTTGATTATTTGAAAACCTTTGCATCAGTAGCTAAGATCTGTTCAGTTCGTATTCTTTTATCTCTAGCAGCCAATTCATGGCCCTTGTTCCAGCTTGATGTCAAAAATGCTTTCCTCAATGGTGATTTACAAGAGGAGGTATACATGGACATTCCAACAGGCTTTTATGAAAATGTTGTTTAAGGAAAGGTGTGCAGACTCAAAAAATCTCTGTATGGACTGAAACATTCATCTAGGGCTTGGTTTGACAGGTTCAAAGGGGCTCTCATCCGTTTTGGATACACACAGACACATTCTGATCACACCCTCTTTGTGAAGAGGATAGATGCTTTGGTGTCAATTCTGATTGTGTATGTGGATGATATAGTGGTGACAGGAAATGATTTGGAGGAGATTTGATGATCTCAAAAAATCATTGCAGAAAGAATTTGAGATCAATGATCTTGGTGAGCTCCAATACTTCTTAGGGATTGAAGTTGCAAGATCCAAGCATGGGATCTTCATGTCACAGAGAAAGTATGTACTTGACCTACTGCGAGAGACTGGGAAGCTGGGGACCAAACCAACAAATACTCCTATTGATCCAAATCACAGAATTAATGGTGTGGATGGTGACTTGTTAAAGGATGTGGGGAGATATCAAAGAATGGTGGGCCGACTGCTGTATTTGTGTATGACACTACCAAATATTTCTTATGCTGTCAGTGTTGTGAGTCGGTACATGAATGCACCTCGGGTTCAACACTGGGAAGCTATTGAGAGAATACTTGCATATCTGAAAAAGCACCATGGCAGAGGCATTCTTTTCTCAAATCATGAGAATCTGAAGCTAGAATCCTATACGGATGCAGACTGGGTAGGATGCTTAGATGACAGGAGGTCTACATCAAGAGTGTGTACCTTTGTAGGTGGAAACTTGATCTCTTGGAAGAGTAAGAATCAAGCGGTTGTGGCAAGGTCAAGTGTAGAGGCTGAGTATAGATCCATGGCTCATGGTGTCTCAGAACTTCTTTGGGCTAGATCTCTTTTGAGTGAGATTGGGGTGAAAGCAGATGAACCTATGATGTTATACTGTGACAATCAGGCTACAATCAATATTGCCCACAATCCAATTCAGCATGATAGGACAAAACACAATGAAGTTGATAGACACTTTATAAGAGAAAGGGTAACGACCGGAGAAGTGTGTTTGCCTTATGTCTCTTCAGAGTTGCAGCTGGTTGATGTTCTCACTAAAGGGGTGGCAAGGAACAAGCTTGAACATGATCTA